ACCCGGCGTGCTCCGTCCCGGCTTTGTAGGGATGCGAGGTCAATGGTCTAACGACTACGGCATGCACGACTATGAGTACACCCCCCCAGCGAGGTCGTCATCGGCCCAAACAGATCGATATGCCAAAGATCGTGCGGCCGCTCCGCGCGCGTGCCCGACTGGTGAGGCACACCCGCCTTCTTCCCCTTTGCCTGCAGACATCCACCGCAAGGCTGCAGCACACCGGTCAGTCGGAGACCGTGCTGCTTTGCGAGCTCACGCAAAAAAAACTCATTGGCGTGGGAGCACGAAACGTGGAAAAGGTTAACGTCAATAATCTCGGTGGGTTTTCCCACCGAAAAAGGGCGCTTGCCCGGGGCCATGACGGGGACGGCGAAAGCAACATCATCGAAGTCATTTGCAAATCCAGACTCAAACATCAAGTCTAACAACTCGTAGGGGTCTTCTGATACCTCTCTTTGTTTCAATAGGTACACAGCCCATTCATAATCTCCCTGCTCTGTGTACGGAATGCATCCACGGTCATGACAGTCATTACTCTCCTGAAAAATGGAGATGTCGGGCGAGGGCAGTCCGGGAACAGCTACCAACTTCATACCATGAGGCACTTGAGAAGCGGAAGGAAACACCACACTCCTGTCAGCGGGGGGGGGGCATACATTGCCGGAGGAACGACGCTGCTCGCAGCGGGCGGGAGACCGTACACAATTGATGCACTACGCTGTTTGCAGCGGGCGGGAAACCGGGCACAGTAGAGGGCACTACGCTGATTGCAGCGGGCGGGAAACCATACACCGTGGAAGGTACTACGCCGGCAGCAGCGGGCGGAAAATTCGACACGGGGGGTTGAACAACACTCCTGGGAGCGGTATGAGGTACAGACATCACCGGAGGCACTACGCTGCTTTCAGCTGGCGAGACACCTGACACTGCGGAAGGAACGTACGCTACACCCGGAGGGGGGGGAAACACCGGTGGGGTTTCTGGCATCACTCTACCATCACTCGTATGTAAACGTACACCAGCAGCGCGGGGAGGGGGCACCGGGAGAAAAGGCATCAGGCACAGCGGTGGGCGTTTCATAGTCGGGCGGCAAGCGAGTGGCCCAAAGCGACAAACCCCTCTCGCCACGGGGAAAGGTCGATTGGCCATGGAAAAGATGGGTGCCTACGTCGTCCAAGGCAATACGTTGCAATTCCTGTGCTTGGTGGAGGGAGAAAAGATTGAACCCCATTCCTTCTACATGACGTGCTGGGGTAAGATTCACGAAAAAGTCTCTACCTTCAAGATGGATCCTCACGTTTAAACATCCGATTCCAAGCACTCGCATCGTCCTGCCATCACCGATCTGCACTCTCTCGCTACCAAGGGGCGGGATGATCATATCGTACATGTTCGTGGGGTCTCCGGTGGTGTGGTTAGTTGCACCGGAGTCTGCAAGCCATTCTTCAACTCCTACACGCTCCGCCCTCACAACCGGTATAGAGTTCATCAAGGCATACCCCTCACCCCCTACGAATCCACTCGAAATCTCCCTCTGGTACTCACTTGACATGTCCCTTACAACACACGCATGCAAAGTCCCCCCTGCCGACGAAGGTGCTCCGGTCGAAGGCGCGGGAGAGGCGTAAGGGGCGGGGACTGGCTGCTGCTGTTGGAAGGGGGGGGATAGGTACTCCGGCTGCTGCTGTTGGGGTGGGTATTCGTACACACCGCTCGCGTGCGTCACCGGTTGTTGATAAACACCGGTCACGTGCGTCACTGCATGCCCCCCCGTGGATGGTGCTGCCGTCGTCGCCACCGTCGCTCCTGCTGCTCCTGGCTCTACCCCTTCTCCGCCATACTGCTGCGCGGTGTTGGCCTGCCCGTACGATTGGGCCCACGGCGGCCGCTGTCTGTAGCCACCGGCCGGCGGCCGGGGCGGTGGGGGCCGAGGCGGCGCGTTGGCGCCCGGCATGCCAGCTGGCCTTCCGACATCAACACGCGAAGGACAGAACAGATGGTTGTGGCCGAGTTCACCGCAATTCTCACACCGCTTGCGAGGGTCATTCGGGTGGATGGGCGGTTCATTTCCCTGCGGGCGGTACATGTGGGGGGGGTAGGCGCAGTATTCGAAGTCCCGCTGAGGTACAGGGTAGGCGGGGAGGTTGCTGCCCGGCGGTCCCTGGTGAAAAGGGCCCCTGCCCCTTCCACCGGAAGCGGCGCC